GGTGATTGCATCTATCCTGCGGGATGTATGGACAGGCGTTATTGACTCATGCGACGAGCTTTCCGACTCGCCTTCAGTATCCGTTCCTTTTATTGCACTCTCCGCATATCGCACCAATGCTGCAGGTTCCCATGTGTTTCCGTAGTAGCCTCGCACGTCGTAGATGCGTCTGTGATCAGCGCTAAACGCCAAGCCGAGGATGGCGTCTTGAGATGCAAGTTGGTACATTAGGTGAAAGGTGTTGGTGGTATATATCTTGATCGCACCCCGTACATCACCTGTTGCGAATAGGTTTCCGTCTCCGCTAACAGTGAGTGTTGAAGCGCCTGTGAAGATCTCTTCGGGCTCACCTCCATATGGATCCCACCGAAAGACGAATCCGTCATTGTATAGTCCCAGGACTTGCGGAGAATGCGCCAGCCACTTTGCTGCAGCGACTTCACCTCTTGCAACTTCTTTCCGGGCACGCCAGCAGTGGCCAACGTGATAAGGGCCTTCCACTTCCCACGCGGATAGCGGATGACCACGGTATGCAATTGCTATCAAACTGCCGTCATCGCTAAGTGCCATGTAGCTTGCGGCATTCAAGAAGTGGCCTTTGAGTTCCTCTTCCTCAAATGTCGCGACAAGATTCCAAGTCGGCGATGGCTCGTTGATCTCAAGTGAACGTAACTGCTTATCGTCTGACCCAACTAACAACGTTCTGTTGTTGTTTACAAAGGCGATGACAAGTGGACGCGATCTTGTCGCTGGGTTCGCCACTGTCGCTATGCAGTCTCCCGTAGAGATTACCCAGACCTTCGTAGTATTGTAGCCGTATGTGACGAGCAATGTCCCGGAAGAGTTCAGCTTCATCATGTATGTACGTTCACCGTGTCTGATGGGACTCGTCGCTGTCTCCTCAAAGAGGGAGGTGTCGAACAAAGACGCTTTTCCCGAGGCGGCCAGTACAGCGACATAATTTCCCGCAGTAGATATAAAGGAGGCATAGGTACCAAAGCCGAATGACAATCTTGCGAGAGAGTCGTCCCATGTCTGTGTCGAAATCCCGGAAACCATCAGACTCCTTTGCTCTGTTCTACCAAACTGCTGATAGATAGCTGAGTTATGCGGACAGAAAAGAGCAATGGTTTTGTGTATCGTAGGGGGGTTGCGTCGCAGGATGGCGCCAAACTTGCCAATGATTTTGACGAAGTCCACTGCCCAGGCTTCGGCCTGCTCCAGTTCCACAACGTCCCTCTTTCCGATGCTGGCTGGAAGCTGGGATTTCCTCTTGTTGACATAGCCGAGCAAATTCTTCGACGCCTGAATGAGTATGCGAAGTCGAAGTTCAGTTGCTAGGATATGTATCCACGTCAGTACATAATGGCCTGTCAGGAATTTGTTTATGACACTAGCCACGGCTTCACTGCCGGCTGGCACTGCTGCCAAATGGGATGACCACCAGTTCGAGCTGTAGCTTGCAAAATCTGTTATGCCATGATTAAGTTTTGATCGAAGGCCGCTAGACATGAGATATCGCATGCAGCTTAAGAATAACTGCTCATGTGCCTGACGTCGATCTACTTGGAAAGGTCGGCGGTCGGCGCCAAGTAGATACTCTCGAGCCGTTTCATGAATCATCGCGACGTTGCCATCATTGTCAATGACCACAAACCCGCTACAGACATTCTTGATGGAATCTTGAATGTCTAGGAACTCATGTGCGTCACCTTCTAATGCCTGCAAGAGCTCCTCTATTGTGAGGGCGCGGAATGCACATGTGACACACTGAAGAACGGCTGACGCTAGAGCGGTGTCAGCAGATGACTGGTGCCCGGCGATGGTAACAGCCATCCGGTCGTAGATTGCTTCCATTCCGCGGGGAAACTCGTGAAAAGCTTGCTCGACGGCGGAGTGCGTATGACACGAGTTGATCTTCTCTACAGCAAGTCGTACCCACTGAGAGGTTAGCAAAATCATAGCATGGTACTGGATATCAAACTTACAAGAAAGTTGTCCTGCGCTTCATGCAAGATACGCTGTATGATGTCATCCCTGAAGCCCTTACTACCAGGCAAGATGAGTTCCCGGTCAATGTAGCAACGTAAGTCATCCACATGGCCCTCGATGGTGATCGTCTCTTGAAAGACTGTGTTTGGTGTATGCTCTAGACCAGCAGCTATCTCTGTAGTGTCGCGACTAACCAAAAGGGCTCGGATAGGTGTCGCAGAACCAGCAATGTCAGAGAGCAGGTCTATCAGGGCTTTGGGATTATCAGCTTCGTCAAGGCCATCGATGACCCAGTAAAGTGTTTTCCCAGGACTGAGCTTGAACAATATGGACCTGAATATCCGATCCCAGATCGTCCTCGGGTTTGCAGCCTCAAAGTCGACGGCTTCGCTTTCAACCTCCGCTACCTTTTGCAGAAATTCAGGTAACTGTTGCGCAATCTGATAGGCGATTGAGCGTAGGAGAAAGCTCAGAGTGCGCTTTCTTCTATCTGCGAACCGCACAAAGAAGTATTGACAGCAGAAATCGCGCTCGATCAGGCTGTTGATGATGAACGAACTTAAAACCGACTTTCCTCGTGCCGCGGCCCCCTTCAGCCAAAGTATTTGATGAGAGGATATGTGAGGATTAAGCCAATCCACGAAGCGTTGTTCTCCATGAATCCATTGGTTAGTCCCCTGCACCCATTGGTCCCGGAAGAAGATGTAGTCGGTGTTGGGGAACTCGGCGATAGCTAATATGGCTTTGAGATCCCTTGATCGTCTCCTTCTCGGTGCGCTCTGGCTTCCAGATTGACTCTTCGATATTGACTTGCTCACGAGTGATTTGAGAACGTTCCTCACTGTGATATAGTTCGGGTCGTGAGGGCTCTCATACTTGCAGACACCGTGGTGGTCTGCGTTCAGAGGGTTGGATGTCTCTCCAGGATATCCGAGCAGCGACGAATCTCTTTCTAGCACCATCTTCGCATGTTAGCAATGAAGCTAAAATTATGTATAGTGTCAGTGGTTCACTTACCACTCGCGCACTTTTCAAACCGATCGAAGTCGGTTGTGTCTCGTAGAATGAAACGATCTTCAGCTTTGGTGCAATGTGACGAAACTGTTCATTCAGCTTCTGCAACGTAGACGAATTCCGCGTCAGCTCAGAAATGAAAGGCTTGGAATTCGTTACAGGAGTCGACTGTAATATTCGGTTGAGCACATTGGCCAAATTGGTGCCCCGATGTGGGGTGGAGAGGAAAATGATTGCTGAAATGGCTTTGACAATGTTCTCGTACTCTGGATCGTTTTGACCTTGCATATAGGCCTGTATAATGTTAGTCAGGTACGCCCAGATCGATGGATGGTGTTACCTCTTTCACGATGAGCCCACCCATGCTGTGAACTACGAAGAGCAAAGGTACCTAAAATGCGCTTTAGAAAAGGCCACGTTGTATGGAAAGGTGACCTCACTTGGCCCATATTCAGATTTTCGCCTTGTACATCTGTGTAATATTTGAGATTGTACAGTAGAGTTTTGGCGAAGTCCAGTATCACGTTAGTAGCATTACTGCCATTCGTGAAATCGGCATCGTAGCCAAAACTCAGAATTCTCGCTAGGCAGATATCCGGCTCGAGTGGCAGGAAGGTCAAGGGCCAGAAGAGTCCAGGGCTTTTGTGCTTCGACCAGGTCATACGGCTACTGCCACCAAGCCCATGGATAAAGACGATGTCGGCTTTATGTCCATTGTCTGGCGTGTATACCACGTTCAATCCTAAAGCTCCAGGGTCTTGGCCGCCAGTCAAAGCCATGTGAGTTGGGGACGCGGACATCTGGGACGGCGAAGGAGTTGTCGAGGATCGAACATCATCTTCCTGGTCTGGCAGGAGCAACGGGTCGACAACGCCTGATTCTCTCCGCCGGCTTCTCCCACCCAGATTACGGAACTTGAAGGGCTTCGAGAACTATACGATTATTAAGAGTGCGATCTGGATACTCGTTCAATAGCACTTACCATCCTGGGCAAAGGTTCTCGCGAACGGTTGCTCGACCATCTTTGGATACGCGACAGCCGTGCCTAGAGATACTTTGATTGCGTGGCGACATCTAAGCCTCATAATCCTGACCGGTCGTGTGTGGCATGAATCTTAGTCGCCGTTCAAGTTGGGGGCTGCATGCGGGGTAGTGTTCGTTCGTCTGGGAGTGCCAACCCAGCTAATCATAGTCGTGCAGCCCTGTCAATTAGGGCGCAGTCCTGGGGTCCATCTAATGGATGCCTGCAATGTGGCGTCACTCGGATATTTGGAAGGGAGGCGGATACATCGATGAGTATCAAGGGCGGGAGCGACGTCCCGCTCGTGGCTGCCGACCCGCGAATCATCTTGCGTGCGGTGAACACCGAAGCTGCTCCCGTGCCACCATCTCAGCATCCAACGTAAGCAGAAGATAACGTACCCGCATACAAGGCTTCCATCAGCTGTTCCCTCTGCTATTCGAGAGCCGACATATCATAAGTGCGGGTCCCCTACGCGTAGTCGCGTGCTAGTCTTTCATATCCGCCATGATGAATCCATTAGAATGGGAAACCGAAATAGGAGGGACGTTTCGCATTCACCGGGCTGTGACCAGAGGTAGGCATTCCTGCAACCCCGACGTCAGATTTCGTACACTAAGCACTACGGGTTAGCTATGCCTGTTGGTACCAGGATCGTATCTGCAGAGCCTTGCGGTGTTTCTGCCTGGACGAAGACAGCAAAGATTGACGTGATACTTCCGGACCAAAGCTCAAAGAGCTACTTCCTCAAAGTATGTCGTGGTAGAGTAGAGGGTGTTTGTACTTGCTGACATATCGTTTCAACACACAGTGCGCCACTGGCCAGGGCTCAAAGGCTCTTGTCGAAGGCGAGTACGAATCTGCATGCGCTATCAATAAGATAGTCCCAGGTCTGGTTCCTCGAGCGACAGGATGGGGAAAGTATCTAGATGGTAGCACCCAGGTTTATTTCTTCATTGGGGACCACCACGACATGGACCTCGTGCCAGCCCCAGAACCGGCAAGCCTTGTGGAGAGAGTTGCCAAAATGCACATCGAAGGGAAATCTCCGACTGGCATGTTTGGATTCCACGTGCCAACAGTGTGCGGCAAGTTCGTCCGGACGACAAAATGGGAGAAGACCTGGACGGCGTGTTTTACCAATCTGCTCAACGATGTGATCAAATATGACAACGAGACCAACGGTCATTGGCCAGAGTTTGATGCTGCCTGCAAGCAGGTAATCGCTGTCGTTATTCCAAGACTCCTAGGTGCTCTCCAGTCGGATGGTCGAAATATCGAGCCAGTGTTGATCCACGGTGATTTGTGGGAACAGAATGTTGGCATCGACATGCAAACTGGCGACACGATCCTGTTCGACCCCGGGTGTTTTTATGCCCATAACGAGATGGAGTTCGGCACCTGGAGAGCGTCTTGGGCCTGTCACTTCAATTCTCCGATATACATGCGATTGTATCAGCGCCATATCGAGCCGTCCGAGCCTGTAGATGAGTGGGACGATCGAAATCGACTATACAGTATCCATATATATCTGAACGATTCTGCAGGCCATCCGGGTAGTATTTCGAGAGCCACGTGAGTATTCATCTGGTGTAGTGTAGAATCGAGCTGACGAAATCCAGAGCTTACAACGACATGTTGTACTTGTGCGAGAAGTACGCACCGCTGGAGGGCCTAGGCACGTACCGTCCAGAGAATGACGTTAGCGTTACTGGCGCCTACATCGAGCACGAGACCACGAAGTTGAGCCATCTCCATCATGCCGTAAAGACTTGATGATTGATATACGGGTCAACCCTGCGTCTGAGCGTACATCAATTCCGTTGGAGCTGGTGTCTTGGATGCGTTCCAACTGCGGGCATTATCAAGGCGTCGCGATCCTTGAAGCGGCACCGATGTAGCAAGCTATCACGGTAAAGAATGCTGTATCTCCCGGCTCGTCAAGGCTGAAATCTGGTTGTGCGTTGCTGGTGATGAGGGAAACGGCGCGTCCCTGCCCAAGTGAGCTCGACGCGTCCGAAGTGGGTACCCAGGTACGCGTCATGCGCTAGCCTCAGAAATCGGGGTGGCAGGCGCTGCCCAAGTGATGCCATCGACTTATTTTGGCTATCGCGCTCGAGCCTGACGAATATTCCTACGGCTAAAATAGGCCTCGTGCTTTAAAATGTTGCATCGTGTTCCACAAAAGAGCAGTGCAAAGAATCTGAGGATCAATTTACTGTCAAGCCACCCGCGCATGACATAAGCCCGCACGCCAAAGCTACACACTGTTGTTCTAGCCTGCATACTCAAGTAACGAGGTCAAAACGGGCTGGAGTAGACGCAGTAGTTGTGGCACTATTGTTCAACCCCCAACTTTCCAGCATATTACGCACCCGTATATCCATTGTCCACAGCCTGATACCAGCTGCGACCTTCGCCCAAGGCGTCTGTTCGTGTTACATCAACACGACTGAGCATCACCCAACCAAGCAAAAACATACATTCAGGAAGAAGAAAAAAGTTGCATAGAATTACATATCTCGACTACCAATTCCCAGCCCTAGACCCTACTGCCCCACAAAGAACAAGGCTAGAAAGTAACGAATCAAGACGTTGATGAAAAGTGACTGACTACCGGAGCGATCCCGCTTTTCTCAAAACGCCTTCAAGGAAAACAAAAGCCACAAAAGGTCAAACGCCAGACCAAGATGAATGAGTGACATAGGAGATGCCAATGTTCCTAACCACCAATCAGTTCCAACAAACGAGACATTCCAAATGCTAATACAGAGCGCTGAATGTGCAGGCTCAATCAAGCCAAACGCTTCAATCGCAAAGGAAGGACAGCCACCTAGGCCTTAGCCTTCTTGGCAAGGTAGTATGTCAAGAGGTTCAAGTGCTGTTCCCTCGCGCCGGCAACAGCTTTCCAAAAGCCGCCGTCTTCCTTTGCGCCGTCGGAGCCGTTGATGCGTTCGTGGAGGGCGATGCAGAACTCAATGTCTGCTTTGCGCACGTCGGCGTCTTGGTCGTCCATGCAGCGTACGGCTAGTCTGCCTAGACGCGCAGTCTGTTCGGCGGACAGTGTGACGTTCTTGGCGCCGCTCATCTGCACGAGGGATGCGAGGGTGGTCAAAGCCATGGTCGTGGAACGGGTTGACGCTTGGCCTGGTTGGGATGAGACCGAAGACTTGGAGTTTGGCGAGGATGTTGGAGTGGATGCGGGCGTGTCCTCAATCATCGCGAGGACGGTGTTAAGGCAGTCTAGAGTCTGGCCGTACTTGACGATTTCGTCTGCGGTCGCTTCGAGGTCAATGGCAATGTGTGATGTGCTTTCGTACTGTGCCTTTGTTTGCAGGATCGTGCGAAGAACGCGAGAGTAGTACTTTGAAGTCTCCTTGCGGTAGAGGGACAGCAACGCGCGAATTGTTGCTAGAGCCTGCACCTTTAGATTGACAGCTTTCATCTGAGGCGCCTTCAACTCGTGGACGGGTGCCTCAAGGAAATCCAGACATGCCAGTAATAGCCTGCCAAAGTTCTCGTCATTCGGTCCCCAGATTTCTTGGTTCGACTTGACCATGTCCTGCATGCGGCGGAACATGTGGGCTTCGACTGTGCGTCCTTCAATCTTTTTGATGCCGCTTGTGAGCAGCTGTCGGTTCTTCAGCACTTCAGCATCGTTTGTCTCGTAGCTTTGCGTGTGCAGGACACTTCCTGTGCTGTTCGTCTTGTGGTGACCGCGAGGGCGCTCTTCGTTATCGTTACCCATCATGACATCGCTTGTCATGCTTCCAGTACTTTGGCGGCGCTCGTTGCTCTTCTCGTTGATGGGAAGCTCCTCGAGGACCGGCTTTTCTGATCCATTCTCGACACGTGTGTGCTCCTCGCCAACAAATGGATCCTCAAACACTTGCACTTCGTCTCCGGCGTCGGTACCGCGAGTGCTTGGTCGATCTGGTGACCTCAGGCGTGGGCTGCGTGTCGAAGACCGTAGGCTAGCGCTGTCTAGGTGCCCCATAGACTTTGGACTTCTTAGCGCTGCAGCACGAGGGCTGGGTATTGGCAGTCGACCGATGGACTTTCTCGGCTTCGTTGGCGTGTCATGTGTGGATTGTGTTGTTGGTTTCGCAAGGTTAGGAATGACCATGGTAAAGTTGTCTTCATCTCCCACATCCACAGCCTCATCGTCTCCCGCTACACTTCCACCCAGACCATTCCTTTGTCGAAATGGTATGGTACCTGCGTCATGCTGGCTTTGTGATCGAACCCAAGGCTTCACCATCGATAGGTCCTCCTCTTTTGCTGGGCTCACAGCCGGGCTCTCGCGACGAGAGCTCGCACTAGGAGACTTGCCATGGGCAATGGGTTGGCCAATCCTTGATTTGGGTCGCGCCGGACTGACTTGTGGGCTGTTCTGGGTTTGCGCACGCGGCCTTGAGCTGCTCTTCGGTACGGCAGGCTTCTTGGTCGCCGTTGGAGCAGGTGTCTTCTCCGGGGTCATGTTGGGCGTGCTCTTTCCTGGTCGTCGGACAGCATACGGATCCGCGGTCGCTGGTCGGTTCAACTCTGGTCGGCGGACCGGACGGCGGACTGTGCCTGACATCAAGGAGCCGGTACCTGTGGAGTTCTTCAGCGCTGACTTCGTTGACTCTCCGGACATGGCAGAGGGTGGTCGCGCCGGACCCGAAGAAGCCGTGGAAAGGTTCGACGTTGTTCTCGCGCCCAAAGACTTGGCCGATTGCGATGTTGGCACTGGTGTATAACTAGCGGCAGCAGAGTTGGGGCGTTCGGGTACACCCTTCGCGGCCGCTAGCTTTGCTCTCCTCTGTTCAGCTATCTTCTCCTTCAGGGCACTCCGCGAGGCACCCGGGCCTATTGATTTCGAAAACGAAGCTGCGCTTGTCGTGGACGAGGGGGCTGAGCCGTTCGGGTTGTTTGGGTCCTTCTCGAGCGCTGTCTTCTCTCGCTTGTCGAGCGTATCAAACATCCTGAAAGCTATGTTAGTAACTGATGATGCCTCCACGTAGTCAAACTTACTTCTCCGCCCTCTGAGGCCATACTAAAGCGTACGTCCAGTAGGCGCTTCGGTATGCCTCTCGCACCTTGGGGTTGGCGTCAGTGACACCCCTCCGGATCAAGGTGTCCAATGTCTCCAGCCCTCCTGAGTGTTCGATATGCGAGGTGTGCCTCTTGATCAGGGTCTTTGCCCAGGTCGCAGAGTGGGTTCGGGGTTGCACGTTCTTGTCTTGTGAGGCCATGGCTACGTGCTGCAATACGCGACTGTTGTACGACACGCTCTGGAAAATGGTGTCTACTGTAACGGCTCCGTTCTGCGCTGCGATGTTCTTCGTAGCACCACACATCTTGATGAAGGATTGCAGAAGAATCTCAACCCAGGGGTCGATCGCAGAGCCGAGTGTCTTTGCAAGCTCCTGAACCAGCAGGCAGCCGTTGGTGGACATGGTTGTTCGGAGCGAGTTGGCGACTTTGAGGATGCCGTCTAGGAGCGATTTGATGCCGGCGATAAAAGTGGCGTGAAACTCATGGGGCGCGTTGCCCTTGAGTATACGTCTCAACTTTGTGCAGTTCTTATCTCTGGCCAGCCAATTGCCCTCGCTCTCCTTGCCTTCGTAGCAGGGCGCCATGTCGCGGAAGACGTCGTCGAGCTCGCGCTGTGTGTAGATGTGTATGGGGTCCATGACGACAACCTCGACCGGGGGAGGCTGCTCATCCGCAAAGCTCTCTGCCAAGCCGACGTCGGGTTGCAGCGTCTGGGCGCGTTTGGATACGATGGGTCGGGCGACGGGGGCGGGTGGTTGGGCAGGCGCGACATCCACGCTCTTAGCCATGGCGTCGTCGTCGAGGTGGGAGGTGATGTAGGTGGCAATGGCTTTCCGGACATTCAGGGCCACGAGCTGCTTCTTAAGGTTGGCTTTGGCGTGTTCCGGAGCGTGTCTGTCGTGATGTCAGTTGCTACCATGGTGCAGCATATCCGCCAATGGACGTACCCAAAGAGCTCCACAACCGCCTTCTTCGCCGTGTCGCGCACGGCGGGATCCGCGTCTTCGCAGTTTGCCACGAGCTGGTTGGAGTAGCTCTTGAAAGGGAGCCCTTCGCTCTTGTTCATCTGTCGTCACCCAAGCGTTAGAACATTTTCGCGCCTGCCCGATGCGCTACGGGGGACCAACCTTGACCACCCACAACATGGCGGATTCTTTGGCGCGCGGGTTTGTGCTCTTGATGGCATCGTGTATCAGCGCGTCAATTTCCATGGAGCACAGGTAGTGCAGGTCGGCCAGAATCTGCGAGGCGGCGCTGCGGTGGCTTTCGCGCCCATCGCCCAACTTGTCGGCGAGGATGGAACATAGTATGGGCGACTGTGACGTAAGAATCGACGTCTCCTTCTGCAGTTGCAGGCGCTTGATGAAGTGGCTCAGCGTCGAGAAGCCCGTGGACACGAGCGCGGCCGAGGTGGCGGCGGTGCAGGCGATGCGGATGCACTCGAAGATAGGAGCCTGACAACTTTCAGGGACCCGGTTGTGCTTGATGCTCGACTTGAGCGTGCTGAACAGGGCCAGGCGCGACTGGACATCGGTCGACGGCTTCTGGAGTGCCTTGAGCAGGTCCGACGTCTCTTTCTCCATCGTGGGCGCAAATTGGCCCTTTGTCGCAAAATAATCCGGCAGCGGTAGAGGCGGGGTGGTTTGTATATGTTATGAGAGTTGTTTACGGCGGGCAGCCATCCCCGTTCACGCTAGACCAGTGTCCGAGCAACCGTGCGCTTTACATGCCGCACT